TCTTTATCCTTAGCCTTAACTTACTCGCTTCACTTGCGATTTCTAAAGTGGAACTGAATGTAATGCTTGAAATAAAGTAAGATATTCATGGTGAAAATTAAGTCTTGAGGTGGGAACTTGAAGGGAATTTGAGAATTTTTTTTAAATCTTGATATGAAAGGCTTTGAGGATCATATCTATTCTTTATGGTTTCTAGGGTTTTCGGTATTTGCTTAACAACCTATCAATCCCAAGCACTACCGAGCTACATCTACGTCACTTAAGTACAATCCCTTAATTAAATTAAAAAACTTCACCACATTTCCAATAAGCCCACAACAATTCCCAACCAAAAAAAAAAGGTTTCTACATCCAGCAAGCAATAACAGAGCACAGAAAAAAAGTTTAGTAACACATAAAAAATATTTCTATAAAGTAGAATCATTTAAAGCAAAATGAAGAAGAGTGAAATGGTATGAAGAAGTAGAAGAAAACGAAGCAGCAAAAAAGTTTTATCTGAAGAATTTTTTTTGCGATATAGATATTGAGAAAGTTTTCATTGTTGTCGTTGTATTGAGGATGAAGAATACTTTATCTAGGTTCTGAATTTCCTGTATTTAAGAGTTTTTCAAAAAGAAGAAATTGTTCTTGGAGATTTTTAAAAATTGTGAATGAATGTCGCTTACGGTGGTTTGATGGTGAGACTGGCATTAGACTAGTTACTTGTTACTAGCCACGTATAAGCTACGCACTAGCTACTAGCAGCATACCAGCTCTTTACAAGCTGCTAGCTAATTACTAGCTTCTTACTAGCAACTTACTGGCTACTATCTAATTACTAGCTTCTTACTAGCTACTTACCAGCTACCAAGCTAGCTCCTAGCTACCAAGCTAGCTCTTAGCTACCAAGCTAGTAAACAATCAATATCAAATGCTATCCTAACGAGCAAACTACAACCCAGCTTTCCCTTACTTTAATTTTTAAGGTTTGTAAAATGCGCTCTATTCAACCAAAACCAAAAATTCATCAAAAACCTTTCTGTTCACCAAAATGAGCTTCCTCCTATCTCTCAAATTAAGTCAGGGATTTTTTGATCATCTCCGCTCACTCATTTCAATTCTATCGTAAATATTTTAAAGTATAAAATAGGATGTAGCAGCATAAGAAAAAGATGAAGATGGCAAAAATTTCCTATCCTTAATTTTATTCACATGGAAAGCTTAGCATGAAATCTAAAATGAAATTTTGAGGCGATAATCCTCTGAGCCTTTGGATTCTTGATAAGGATACTGTAACTTTATGTAAACTTTATTAACTTTTTTATTCTTTTCAACTTTTTCCTTTCATTTCTACTCCATTTACTGCAAAGCTTTCATCTTTTATTGTTATTTTCGATATTCAATTCAGATCTTTCAACTTTTATGCCGTTAATAATCATTGATTTCTAATGCCTACTTCATGATATTCTTATGTTTTATGGCTTTAAATGGATAAAAAAATTCTAGCAAAAATATTTTAATTAAACGACCGTGCGTGCTCGGGTTCGATGAGATGATGATTGAATCCTTACCTTTTTTATCGCAATGTTCCGTTTTAATGTCTACAGCACGTTTTTTTCGCTCGCTTAAAAAGAGCAGATATAAAAATAGAATAGGAAAGAGGAAAAATTAATAAAGTAAAGAGTGCTGATGCTAGAGGTGGGTACCTTTGATGCATACTGTGCCAGCAGATTACTTTTTACGCTTGACATTTTGGGTCAGAGAATTAGAGGATGGGATGAATCTTCAGCATGAAGATTTGGACTTTAGGGCAGACAAACAAAATCAATTGGCATAGAAGGACATAAGAGCTACATCAACCATTGGCAATCCCCTCAAACGATGTCTAGCTACATCACTGTTCTGAAGAATGCAGGAAACATAACATTGAGGCTTTAATATTTAAACAGGAACAAAGTTTCATGACATTAAGGATAATATACCTTTTAATAGGAACTTATGCTGCCATATTTCCATATCCTTAATCCACATAATTACACTATTATACCATACCATTATGATATTAAAAAACATACCCAGCATCACATAGAGTCTCAACATCAAGATTAATACTCAGACCAAAACAAATCGCGAGAAAAAGAGTAAGGTAGACATTATATGCAAATACCCCACAGGTTTCAAATGAAGCAAAAAAGAAATCCGGGCGAGCAGTTGATAGAAGCAAACAAGACGAGAATTGAATATCATCCAATTATCAACTTTTCTCTTCTGTTTGTATTGGAGATTTTTTTTTTCAATTACTCTTTCCTCATCCATCCATCTCTTGTTGAGTTCTTTTCCTTTCCCGCAGTTCGAGAATTAAACGAGCGCTGAAACGATGATTGGGAAAACAAACAATAATTATGAATAATTATCTTGGTTGCATCCTGCAGCAAAACCTGCGCTATTTTTTTCTTCTTTTCTTTCGGTTCTTTGCGTTCTTGAGCAATTTTTAGTTTTAATTTTATATAGTGGAATTTTAGGTTAATTTTTTGATGAACTTTTGGAACTAGACGCCTTTTTTATTCAAATAAAATAAGTTTTTGCAAAAGTATTGAATGTGAAACGGGTTTTTTAATTTTTTAAAAACTAATATTCAAATTATTTAAAATGGCGGATTTTTTTCCCACTTCAAAAAGTTTTTTGGAGATTAAATGACAACTGTTCAAGGAATTGGACCTTTTGTTGAGTTGTATTGTAGAAAAAAGTGGCAAAATGTAAATTAAAGCTTAGTGAAGCCAAACAGATGATCATTCATTAAATAAATTGAAAAAAAAAATTCAAAATGGCAACCTCTCACCTCAAAAAGTTTCTATTAAATTATTCGCAATTAACCATTAAGTTTCTCTTAAAAGTTCATAAATCTCCCAGAAAAAGATGGCAAGAAGATTATTAACCTAAACAGCGTGCATAAAACCCCGCGCTATCAAATTTGGTAATACAAACAAGACAATCTGAACGCCCAATCACTTCATGTACTTTCATAAATTGCAACTTGAAAAGAAACGAAATCATCATCATGCTGGTTGCAGAGCCTCGTAAAGATCGTAATCACGGGTTTTCGACATTTTTTTCGCATGTTTAAGACGTGAGTCTTTCAACTTGCAAACGAGATATTTCCCTCAGATCGATGTCTTGATTTATTGCAAAGCAAATTATGCCATAATTAAATGCTATCTCGGCAAATTGCCCTTTTTTAGGTTCCGTTGTCTGTTCGCTTTTTTTTGCATAATTGATATATTCATATACATAAATATTAAAATCAATGGAGCCAAAAATTTCACCATAGCAATGAACATATTTTATGCTCTCATCCTCATTATTAAGTAATTTCGGAAAATTAAATGCCATTTTTTCTGTATGCTTTATATGTGGATATAAACATTAAGCTTTTTTTTTTATTTCTCCCTTTTTTCTCCGCATCATATAAGCACATCAAACAGCCAACAAAAGAAAGCAGTAGGAGCAAATGGATGAATCGATGGACTGCAGCAATAAATAAATACATTCAATCCATATTCAGGCAAAAGGCAATGAATTTTGATTGCTCATTTTTGTGCTGCAATTTCATTATGCGTCGTCGTATTTCTCTCATTCTGTGTGTCTATTCTATTGTTAAATTTATTTCAATGAAAATAAAAATAAAAAATGAAAAAAAGAAAAAAAAAAGATTGTGAAGTTTATAAAGCATAAATTTAAATGGTGCAAAATAATGAGTTCGGAATGGTTGAATGGTCTTTATGGGCGGATTATTAAAATAATCAACAAATATAAGGGAGCAGAGAAGGAGATGTGGTTGTGGAGGAGAAACTCATTATGTGATTGTTCAAGTTTGGGAGCATCCATTCAGAATAAATATAGTAAAATGAGAGAACATTACATTTGGAGACCCAAAAGTTTGAGTGGAAGGCAGTGATGGATTTTTGTGAAAGCGCATTTTTGGGTGAGGCTGGAGCCAACTGAACAGCATTCTGAACAGATTTGAGAGATGCTTTTGTTGACTACGCAGACTTGTTATTTATTAATGAGCCTCATTGCATTCGATTGTGTATGGATCTTCAAGTTTTTTTTTATTAGAAGTGTATCGGGATCTGCCAAATGTAATAACTTAACTTCTGTAGCTTAATGATAAAGCAACAGGCCACAAATCTGTGAAAAAATTCAATTACCCAATGAGGACGTGGGTTCGATTCCCAACAAATTTTGATCTCTGATTTATGACACTGTAAATTGATTTTTTTTTATTTTTGAGGCAAAAGGCGGAAATTTATTCTGGAGGGTCGAGAATGTGCTTCAGGCACCTTTAATGAAACATAAAACTTAAAAACCCCACCTGAAAACACAACACAACTAAAGCCTGTAAACATAATGAATTTTAAAGACAAATTTGAAAACTTTTTTATCTCATTTCTCATTTTCATCAGAAAATTATTCCATAACCCACCTTAACCACAGCTCTTACTTAAATCTCCTCTCCAGCTACTTTTTTAACAAATTAAATTCATCAGCCAGACAACCAGAAACCTCAGCAAATCCACAATTATAATCTGAAATCTGCTCATAAATTCAAACACAAAAAAATCATAAAATTTAATGTTTTTCAAATTATTGATTTTATTTCTTTTTCTTCATCTTTTTAGGCTTATATTAATGACACTTTTTCTCATTTTCATTCTTCCACATCATCATAATCATCATAAGTATAACTATAGATAGAAAACTACATAAATGTTATAACAAAACACAATCACGCTACTTTCAATTTATTACTTCCCAAAAAAATTATTATTACTTTTTTATTATTAATTTCAAGGGATGGAAACTATTCTCAAATTTTTACAAAAAAAATAAATTGAATTTTTAGGCATGAAAAAAATATTTTAAGTAGGAATTTACATTTTTTTTTATAATTTAATTATATATTTTGACAATCTAGATTTTTCAATTTTTATTTTTATAAAATTTTCAAAAAAGTGTCCATCCCTTGATGGATTTTTTTTTCTCATTTAAAATATAACATTTAATATCACAGAAATGGAAATAAAATAGTTTTACTCGTTTACAGAACTAATTTTAAACTCATTTTACTTCGCGCTCAAAACAAAATTAGGGTTGTTAAATATATTCTTATTATATGCCTAGTATTCATTCAATTGCCAATTTTTTTTTAAGTTATTTCTCGTAGAAATCTTATTTTCTCAATTTTTATTCTTTACTCTTTGATTTATGTGCTCGCAGACCGAGTCGATAAATTTGGCAGTTAGTCAGTTCAAAAACAATAATAAAATTCAGCATAACTACTGAACGATGTGCTCTTTATTTCATACATATCGTGTAAGTTGATTATAAAAATCTTGTAGACAGAATTGAAGCTGTTGAAACGTTGGACGCTCGAGAATGGAAACGGCCCAGCAATAAGCCATAATTGTGAATCTGTGAATGAGAAGAAAATATGTTGAAAATGCTGTTTTTATGTTGAAATATGTTCAGCAATACTTACAGTTCATCGGGGCAATTGAGTGGTTGGGCTAATCGATATCCATCACGTAAATAATTTTCCATCTCAAAGGCATCAATCTATATAGGATATCCAAAAAAAAGGTATCAAATTTAATATTGTAAAGTGGAAATTATTTGAGTGCTTGTTACTTACATCAATGTACGGCTGCTTTGCAAGTGTACACAATTCCCAGATGAGAACACCAAATGCCCAGGCATCAGATGCTTCACTAAATTGCTTCTTGCTTAATGCTTCAAGTGAGAGCCACTTAATGGGTCGATTTTCACGATCACCAAGACAATGATAATCTTGTGGGAAGAGATCACGTGACAATGAATTGTCTGTCATTTTAACTGATAAATCATCATCGATAACACAATTCCTTGTTGCAATATCCTTATGAAGGACACCGTGTGCATGTAGATGACATACTGCTGATGCTAACTGTGATGACATTTTTACAATTTGAATTGTTGTTAAAGTTCTAGCAATTGGCTCTTGTAGAAAGACTTTCAAGTTCTTTGTATTATTATCGGCAGCATAAAGAAGGAATGGTGCTGTATGATCCTCAATCGACACTCCAAAAACTGATAAAATTCCAACATGACAAGCACCATAAAGATTCATTCCTTCCTGCAACAGCAGTGATACCTGCATTTGACTGGCTTGCTGTCCAACTGTTTTAACTATAACGTCCTGAGTCTCATTGTATGTTCCACGATAAACACGTCCGAATGTTCCTTCCTGCAATAAGCTTGACAAGCGTACGCGACATCGTTGTACAGTAATTTCTGAAATGCGACGATGTAACTCTTCCGGCTCGGAGCATTTACTTCGTGGTAATGTGGCATTTGTTGGACATATTGATGGTGCTAGAGACGATGAATGTGTTTGTAAACGTTGAAAGCTTGATGTCCGGACCGGTTGTGATAGATGTGGTTTGCGTTTTGCTGGACCACGTGCACAGTAGGCAATTGAAATGAAAACAGCAACCACAATCATTGCAAGAATTCCACCCACAATAAATGTAATGACAGCATTCGGTCTCTTAGGTATTGTTGTAAATAATGTCGTGCTATCTGTACTGTCCTCGGTGACTTCACTCTGTAGGCAGATTTTCTTTCTCGTAAAAACCAATTCTGTGACATTGTTTGTCTCTCGATTGAGTGTCACCTCAATGGATATCGTTATATCCACTTCAGATGATCTTACGCCTGAGCATTTCATATCGAGTGCAAATGTCTCTATTTCCTGAGGCATCTCACCAATACGACTGATATTGAGTGAGGGACGAGGCAACACAATTGGATCTGACGTTGCTATATTTATTCGATATGGTAACGCTTTACCCGCCAGACTTTGCCATGTAAATGAAATATCTTTGATATTGGCTGCAACCGGCACCGTGAATTGCAATGCATACTTATTGATTAAGCCTTCACGAACGTAATACAGTTCTGCTGACAATCCTATTATTCAAGAAGAGAAAGAATGAAATAGTCATAAATTTTTATGATCATTTTGAGCATATGCAAACTGAATGCATGCATACAGATGATAAATATTCCTTGATTGCATAGAGCAGCAGCAAATGACTAATCTACCGACAACGGGGGTGAGACAAAGAAATGGAAAGAATTTCGTTATCTACCGCCATTGTCGTTAGCTCAGCTTTCTTTATTATTGTAAACATGTGAAGAATAAGAGCAAATGGATGTTTTGGATCAGGTTGGGACACTTGAGTACAAAGTGGCTAGGTTAACTTGAGAATCTGAGATTGGGTTGCAAAAATTAATTTTACGTTTTTAGCGCCAAATCATCTCAGAATTGAGATTTGAACCCAAACTTCTGACAAATTAGAGTCTAAACCCTTATAAACAGCTACAGCTATAAAGCGTCTAATCATTCCCGCTTTTCTTTATCAAATCAGTCTACATATTGCATTAAACGAAACGTAATCAACTCGTCTCTCTACCGTTCGCCACGTTCATAGAACCCGCGACAAATGCATAAAGAAACAATTTTTTATTCCTACACATTCACATTACATGCTTCCATTCAAACATTATTTTATTTCTTTTTTTTTTGTCAGCGATTCTTCTATTTGTGTATATGTATTTTATGAGAATAATAAAAACATTAAGTTTTATGGTGCGAAGGAATTATTTATATTAAATCGTTTGATGTCAGCCGTCTGCAATAGAAACAAGAGCTGTCTCTTTATTCTCTCTATTCTAATAATTTTTATTTTCTGTTTTAAACCCCCACATACATCAACAATGTACTTTAATGTTGAAGAAATAAAAGAAGATATAAGGAACAAGAAATAAGAGAAATGAGTGAAGAATTTTAAAAAAATAAAATATTATATTTCAATTGTGGGATTTTTCATGTTGATGCGAAATACGACAAATTTTAGTCTTTATAAGCATAGTGGGATTAAGATTGAAAAGCTTCCCTTGTTATGGTGTTATGGCATGAAATGAATGAGTTCTTTTGTCCACAAAGAGATTGAATAAAATATCCTCGTAATGATGATGGTAAACAAAAAAAAATGAATAAAGAAAAACAGCAGCAGAGCAATCGATTTGAGGATGATAAGATGGATACTGTGTTAAGCGGGGGTTTTGAGGGGGATTTGAACGAAAACATCGAGATTTTTTCATTATTTTGAGGTTTAATTTAAATTTGTACTCTAACGGTCAAAAAAATTTCAAAATACTTCAACTTTTTGATCAAAAAACTTCAAATTTGAATTCTAACAGTCAAATATAATTTAAATTCAAATTTTAACGCTCAAAAATTATTTGAATTCAAATTTTAACGCTCAAAAATTATTTGAATCAAATTTTACCGGTCAAAAATTATATGAATTCAAAAATTTTCACCCAGAAAAACTAAATTCAAAGTTCAACAGCCACAATTTATTTGAACTTATTTTAACCCCCCCCCCCCCCCCCCTAAAGCATTCTTTTGAGGTCATATTATATCACATTCCATAAATAAACATCAAAAATAAAACTTCCATAATAAATCCATCCTTAATCCCGACAAATCCAGCTCATTTTGACACCCCTTGATATGTCTACATCCTACGATAAAATTCAATTTACTATCTTCGCAAAAAAATACAAATTTTCTTAAAGAAAACTCGATGATAAACTTTTTCAATTTTATCAAAAAATGGGAAAAAGAAAAGAGAATAAAAAAGGCAGGAGAGGAAATACTTGCACCATAATGCTTGCTCACGGAAGCATAAAAAGGAATAAATTTTAAGCATCGTAATGTTTTATAATTTTTCATATACCAAATGCCGTAATTGAATTGGAAATATTCTTATTCTTTTCACTTATATGCTATGATATTATATAAAGCATAAACATAAACATAAGCGGGAAAAAAAGAAAATTCTTTTCAAGATAAAGATAAATGAGATGAAAAACTTTTCATTTTCCTGCTTCATACTCAGTTCGGTATGCATGCGCAGCTAAAGTTATGGAAGCGTTAAATTTGCAACTTTTTTGCGCTTTTTTCTTTCTCTTCCTCGCTCAAGATGTATTCTTATTTGTGTGAAGATGAATTCCACATGAATTCCTATGAATACCTCTCATCATTTTTCTTTATGACATATTCGGATGAAATTGGGACGAGGCCGTTTGGTGGATTTTGTCACAATTGTTTGAGGTTTTTAGCTTAGCTTAAAGGCACAAATATTGTCAGATTTAAAATAAATTGAATACAATTATTTTTTTGACCAAGTACTCCCCCCCCCCCTTCCTCATCTAAAAAGCTCTAATTTCAAATTTAAATAAAAATGAGCCCAAACTTCTACAAACTTCAACTCAGTGTTGCTATTGCTCTCCCACTAATGATTTTTGGATACCTGATGTGCATATTTTCTACTCAATTAAGCACTGCTTCACATTAAAAATTCAAATTTATGCAACTTTGTTTCACATCCGAGTTAGAATTTATAAATAACAAAAATAAGTGAGATACAAATCAATCAAGCTGTCGACCAGAATTCTCAGAAGGTGAACCTTCCCATTCTAATTTCAATAATACCAATGCATAATTTAAATACATTATAAGCTATATTTAGGTAACCTTTTCATTGAGAAATTATTCTACATGTTAAAAAAGTTCTTAAATTAAATGGAAAATAGAATATTGAAAAATTGTCTCAATATGGAAATAAAGCTGCACAAAAATGAAAGGCCGGCAATAAAATTGGTTCAATAAAATATTTTCAAGTTCAAACAAATTTCCGCTCCAATAAAAAAATGTGGGGCTTCATTATGCAAACTTTTTGGTATTAATCAGTAAAATATTGAACATTTAGAAAGGAAGTCGTACTCAATAACGAGGGTATCCTTAGACATTCATTGACAAATTCGACAATTTTTTAATTTAAAAAAATATGAAAAATTGTTTTAAAAAATTGAATAAAATCTGGAGTTTTTTTAAAAAAATTTATTTGGACGATCTTAACTATGCTTTTAGAGTTTCTCGTCGTTTTGGTCAATTTTCGAGATTTTATAATGATTAAATGAAGTTTGTGGATGCCTTGCTACAAACTCCGGTAAATATGAGTTATAACTCCAAAAAACCACCCCTAGAAACCCCCTCCAGTGACAACCTCGAATAGCAAAAATCGCTGGCATGATGCTGGCGCTGATTTAAATCGAGCACCTATATCCGATCGATTAACCGACTTGTGCTATTCGAGAGCTGTTCTCTAATTGTTCAAAAACCATTCAAACCCTCTCCAAAAAATTCACATTCACAAAATTGCACCCCAAGAAAATTTAATGGATACACATCTCCACCCAAACATCAAATTCCAAACTCAACCAAAACACATTTCAGTCCATTAAAAAAATAAACAAATTTTTTCAAAAGCAATAAAAAATTTAAAACTTTAAAAAAAATTCTGAAGTTCCCCCCAAAATTTATCAAAGGGAGAAAAAATATCTCATTTTATATGCACGAGGAAAAAAATGCGAAGACATTATATTAATCAATCCAACTCCCTTTATGTGCATTACCGACATTCATAACTTCTAACTTTTTATGATTCTTTTGACAATTGCGGTGATATTTTACATGACTTTATTGCAATAAATTTCTCTCTTTTTCTGTGCGCGTATTCGTGGATTTTTGTGTGAAGGGCTGACTATTCATAAACTGATTCATAATACACGCGATACTCATTCCTTATGGATGATATAATTCTTTTAAGAAATATGAAAATGAATTTTTTTTATAGCTCGAAAATTTTTATTTCTTGTGGCTTTCTCATGTTTCAAAAAAAAATTAAATAAGGAAGAATTGTCACGTTGATTCTCATATGCGTTATCGCGCAAAGACAATCTGTTGCTCATTTTCAATCTCTCATTCTCATGTTTCTCTCCACTCCTTTATTTCTTGTTTCATTATTTTCATTTTATACTTTATTTGTAGTTTTTGCTGTCATGTCGAGTCGAGGGACTTTATTTCTTCTCTTTTTCTTATGTCTTCCCAAAACAGACTCCCGTAGCGCACCGAAAATGAATTTCAACAGAACCCAAAAAAAAAACAATGTTGCCTGTTGCACAAATACACATATTCAATATACTTCATGGAACTTAGCCTTACTTCTCTGGTTATTGTCAGACTGTCACTTTCAACGGTGGTTTTTTTGCATGTTTCAACTGCCACCCACCAGTTTTGTTTTGAGGATTTACAGGAAGACTATTGCGGGTTAGATGCCCTTGGTGATAAAGGATTGATCGGAGTTTAAGATTTTGACAGATGAAGATGTCATAAAGGTGCTTTGTTGGACGGATTAGTCTGATTTAATCTGGCAGAATTTTAAAATTGTCTAGACAGACTTTTTTTTGACAAATCTTGTTAAGAAGAATTGATTGCTTTATCAAGCTGATTCTATTGAGTCTATTTTGGTATTTTTCAGAGATGTGGGGGCTCTTTAGAGACATTGTAGTAGAAGATAGAGAGATTCTAATATAGGAGATGAATTTGAAACATATAGCAGTATGATAGGTCTAGTATTGTCAAGAAGAAGCTAATTTGGAGTGCCATACAGCTCTTGACCCCCTTTTTCTCAGCATTTGTTCCCAAAAGTATCAAATCAAAGCATAAAAAGCTAAACCTTGATAATTAAACCCTAGAAACAGTCTCAAATATGATTATAGATTCTATAAAGCTTCACTAGCTTCCAAAACTCAAAAAGTCACATCTAAAGCTCAAAAACTCATCACATAACAAGATTATTTCATAAAAAAATCTCATTAACATTAAGCAGCCTAGTTACTGAAACCCCATTTAATTTAAAAATTAAGACAATCATCAAGTCATTCATCCCAAACTCCATAGAAACCATCCTCGCTTCAAAAACTCATGACAACTCCCCATGTAAATCCTCAAAAATTCATCCTTCAACAATTTCACAACAAAGAGTGACTTTATGTCACTCGGGACATAAGAAAACTGTATGTCTCAACCACTCCTCGTGACGTCTACATATTGTGTCTTACGGCATCAAGAAAGTACAACTGTATTTATGCGATATTAAGTACTTCTTAACTTGTCGTGTTCTTTAGTGCCGTACTGTAAGATTCTTTTCATATTACTTTTATTTTTATTGTTGTTGGCTGTATGAAAAGCCATAAAACATTTCTTTTCCCCAAACACTCATGCAACAACACGATGAAATAATATTTTTTTTTTTTTTTTGCGGAGAATGAATAAGAATGAAATGTACGGAGTGAGAGATAAGAATTCCCCCGAGGCTGGTTGAAATGATTTCTTTTCATTTTTCTGGTACGTATCGTACGTATACAGGAATGAGAAGTAAGAAAAATCTGTTTCAATTTCTGGTTTTTACAGTACTTCCTTCCTTCCTTTTATTTCATTCTCTTTTTCTCATTTCATATCCTCGGCTGTGCCGTTTTTTAATTAATTGCAAATAACTTAAGTAATATTTAAAAACCAAAAAAGGAACGCAAGAAAGATTGTTAAATCCATAAGTATAATAACACCTTAAAGAGCTTAGCATACAGCGAGTGAAAGAGCAATACCGTAATCATGAATCGCTACCTGAATTTTTTACTTTAGCTTTATTTATTTTTTGTTTAAACTGCGACTGCTGCTGAAGCAAATTAATCTCATACTTTATGAGATTTTTGGCGCGTTTGAAGGCAGTTTTATTTAACTTAAATTATTATTATTTTTTTGTTGTTATAACGAGCTACAAATGCAAACAAGATATGAAAGAAGCGTGAAAAAGAAAAGAAAAAGTAGTGATAAAGTTTGATGCTAGAATGAGATTCTTTTGTGGTAAGTTAGTAATGCTAGAAGGGATAGAGCGCTGTTTTTTGGGTCTATGAAGACAATTTTTGAGAAAGAATTGAGTTAATGGCTGATGTTCTATATTAAGAGGCACTTAATAAGAAAAAAACATGATGCAGGAACTTAAATAGCCAATTGTTAGTTCTAAAGTATTAAAATTATTCTTATCCATCACTAACAAGGCTAGGAGCTTAGTTAATTGATACATAGACATATTTGGAGGTATTTTGAACTAGTCAAAGCTATTTTAAGCTAATCTGAGCTATCAGAAGCTATTTGAATTTTTTTTTAGATTTTTGACGCTTTTAAGCATCGTCCTGAAAATGAATCGTCAATTACTCTTAATTCTAGTCCATTCATTTGATCCCTATAACTCTAATTAACAACACTACGATATTCATAAGTCATCCAACTCATCTCTATCCCATCAACTACCTTATTCAGCTTCCCAGCATTCCAAAACCACACTCAACAGCCACTGACTTTCAATTTGCATTTATAGCAGTATCTAGTTTATATCTAGCCATAGCCAAACTGAATACCAATCCACATTCTTAGATATTAAAAGAACTGCATTGAAAAATGATTTCTTCTTATTCTTATTTAACGTTATTCCTTTATCTTATTTCTTTAACGATGTACGTCTCATTTTTTTCTGTTACTCATTCGTAATTCTTCTTTTATTCCTTTAAGACAACAATCGTGTTGGACCAACACTTGCGTGCCAAGATAAACAGGTCTTTCTTTAAAAAAAAAAGAGACGAGAAGAGAAAACTGGGAATTTGTTTGGAAAGAATCGACGCATCTCTCGGGGAACACATAACCGTGTTGTACAGTCTCAGTCCATAAACCAGTTCTCTTCTCTCCTTTTCTTTCTTCTACACATTCTTTTTTTTTTTTTGGTTCTTTTATTTTGTTTTGAAATTGCTTCATTTTTATTGCTTTCATATGCTTTAAACAAGAACGGTTTTTTTAGAAAAAAAAGAGTCGAGAGACTAACAAGGCATGGATGTGATGGAGAATATAAGAAAATAATAATAATAAAAATCAGAACGAGACTTTGATTTATAAATAGTTAAATGAGGAATATAAATTTTAAAGGGGCAAAAAAAAATTGGTATTTTGACATAGACGAGCTCGTTTGGAAATCGCTTTAGAATGGGTCGAGAGGTTAACTTTTTGTAAATTGTTCCAACAGTTCATTGAACAGTTGAAGTGGTTTGGAATAGAAATAGGCGGTAAAGTTTTGAGTGAATTGTTGATTTTTGTTGAGTTGTGAAATTTTGAATTTCTTGTAAGTTTAAAACATTTTTATTTTTTTTTCAATTCTTATTTTTAAAAATTAAATTTTTGAATATGTTGAATTTTAATTTTTTTAAAAAAATTTTAACTTTTAATTTTATTTTATTTTTTTTAAGTTTTTATAAATTTAAATTCAATTTTGAAAAATCTTTAAAAAATTTGAAATCCTTTAATTTATACAAATCTTCAAAATTCTTATAAATCCACTCTAATATTTTTAATCCGACAATTAATCACAATAATCTCACTAAATCCACCACATTAAATCACCCATCACTCCCGTCCATCAATTATTCATCAACCTTAATGAAGACAATAAAAACTCATGTCAAACTCGAAAAATTCTTTTAATTTTGTTGATAAAAAATTTCTTCAAAATTTTTTTTTGTTTACGTTTTATTTCCATCACTGTCGTAATTTTCGCACGCTAAAGAATTCTTTGTGATAAATATTTACACAGTCTAACAGTGATTTCTGAAATGTTAATATTTTCAATCTGTACACAATTGAATGAGATGTGGAAATATGACAAATATGTTTTAACTTGAAAATTTCTCACTTAAAATTCTTGATTTGTTTGAGGAAATGAGGTGATTTGAGGTTGTTGTTTTGGTGATGGATGGGGAATGTTGTGAATTTTTACGTGATTTTAAGTGAGTTTTATTGGACGATGAATTTTTATAAGGCTTTGGATTTTATTTATTTTTAAATTTACTATGTTTTAATTTTTTAAATAGTTTTTTAACAAAACGAATTGATAAAATTACTTTTTAAAAACTTAATTTAAATTTAAGAAATTTAAAATAAAAAAATTTTAAAATCTTTTAAATTTCCACAAATCACAAATTTTAATAATCATCAAAAATTTCAATAAAATGTCGGCAAAAGTCTATTTAATAGACAAACATAAAATGAAACGTAATAGCCTCAATTTATTAACTCACCGAATTACTCATAAACTCTCATGATTTATTGTTTACTTAATAAAGATTTTTTTTTTTCAATTTAATTTGGTCATTTTTTGTTCTTATCAACTTTTTCGTATTTCAACAATTCTTTTGTACTTCCGCTCGTCTTGCGACTTTTTTTGATAATTTTTATTATTTTTTTGTTATTAATTTAATTAAAGTTTTTAATCACTGTTTAAATTACGCAAAAAGAACATTTATCATTTTTGACATTTTTGTCATATTTTTAAATCTAGTAATGATGATCAATTTATGTTTTGGGGGATTCATTGGGTAGATTTTGAGTTATTGAACGATTTTTAATTGAAATTTTAATTCTTGGGAATTTTAAGGTTTCGAAATTAAACATTTTTAAAAGTTTTTTGTCTTTTTCTGTATACTTGAAATCACTTTTAGTTCAAATTGAATTTATATCACAATAATGTTTAAAAATGTTCAATAAAAAATCTACAATTTAAATCTGCAATAATTTTGAAAATTAATCACAACAAAATCAAAAAAAAAAACTCACAACAAAATCAAATAAAATTGCCAATAAAAAATCTCCCAAAAAGTTACAACAATTCACAAAAAGCTTATCGATTTCCATCCAATTCCACGCAAGAAAGAGTTCCGACCTATGATAATGCACATAAATATTTCATGTCTCACACAAAATCTTTTAACCTTTTTTTTTCTTTCTTCATTTTCGCACAGAAAAAAATGACACAAGAAAAAAATGTCCAGAAAGACACCAAATTCTGCTACAATTTCTATGTCCATTACGACACGCACACATCAATTTGTGCTAATTTGTTTCCTCCAACCTTAAGTCCTCATTAAATATTAATCAAAGTAATTTTTTCTCCTCAACAATCTCGAATTGAGGCATAGAAGTTTGCTTAATGAGCAAGCAATTCAACAACATGTCATAAAAGCAGTTATCGATCGTAACTTATAATCGAGTTTTGTGGACTGTTTACTATTGGAACTAAACATAAAGAATTGCTTTTTATTATTTTTTCATTTATGAAATAAATATTTTATTATCCTATGTACATTATTGCTCTCAAGAAAAAATAAAATAAATATAACTTCGATAACGACTTATTTAGTGCATTTAATGCCGAAAAGAGTGGATTTATTGGAATTGACTGTTTATTTACAACAACAACTCGTTTCGAGTTTCGTACATAATCTGATATTTTGTCAAATTATCAAGTTGCGGGGCTGAAATGCCTCAAGGAATGTAGTCGATATCATATATCATTACACACACTTACCTAGTAATCTCATAGTTTCGTGCTCGTTAAGGTATAAATTGAATGATCCATAAGCGGTTGATAAGAGTAAAAATAATCCACATAGTTGCAGTAAATTCCTCATTTTGTACATAACTTTATTTCTTTTTTTTGTGATTTTAATTTAAATAATTTAATTCAATTTATTTCACACTTAATGAAGAAATTTTATTCTGTGTATTTAGTTACGCTAGTTGCTTATCATAATTTATGTTTTGCTTTATTTTCAGCTAGATTTTTTTTTTATTTTATTTAATTTTTTTCATCACTTCACTCTCATTGAGTTCTTTTCTAATTCACATTTAGTTCACTGATAAATAGTCCTCGTATATCCAAAATGATGATTTGATGAAGATGTCATTAAAAATTATTTATTTCAATTTTTTTCAAACTTTTTTTTAAGATGAGTTAAATTATAAGAATTTTATTTAATTTTATTCTTTCGAGACGAAAATTTTTTCACGTCTTTACTGTACGAGTTCACTCAAACGACTGAGAAATTATTATTTTGAGAACCGGCAAAACATGTGAATTCACATTGAGAGGGAGAGAACAATTAATTTTTGAGAGTGAGATAAAAAACTCAGAAAACCTTACAACTTAATAGGTTTTCAAATCTTACACAATTACAATGTCGGATTGCCATACTCACGCACATAGGCACATGCAAGTCTTAATCTTCAGAAAAAGGCTCAAAATTTATCTCTGACAGTTTCTTGGTAATGTCAATCATTATCGTCTGACAGATTATTCATTTCCTTCATGCATTCCATAAATTACTCAAGAAACATATGGTCACATACTATACAAAAAAAAAATTGAGATACGATGTCCAGAGGAAAATATTTTGTCAGAAATTCTTGTTTGCATAAGAAAATGAAAATAAATTTTATGCAGGATGGCATACAGTCGGTCTTTTTCGTTTCTTCTTTCTGGTCCTTATCCATAATTTTTTTTGTGTTTTGTAGTAAGGCAATTTGGGTAAAGTGATGGAGACAGTTGTGTCCATTTTTTTTGGATATAGAAAATTGAACGTTTGCCAATTTTTGTATGTTTTGTAAAATTTTGTGGAATTTAAATAATTTTGAGGCTGTTGTGTAACAAGTTATGGTTTTCTAATTGAATCTTTACATCCTTAACCTTTATTTTCACTTAATTATTTTAGAACCTTTGGTATGATTCCCTTCATTCAGAGGGTCCCAAACGTCTCTACTAGCTAGATGTCCTTATTTGTGTTCCATTTATCCACAAACTCAACAATGAATTCCACTTCAAAATTATTTTTCAAACACATTTTCTTTCCATTTCTTTTACATTGTTAAACATGCAATATTTGCTGATGAAATGTGTGCATGATAACATGACATAAAGATCTCTTTAAATAAGAAAAATTGTTGGAAATGATAAAAGGAACACTTTTTGTTTCTATGGGCTGGCATTTGAGATGAAATATAATTTTTTGTGTATGAATAGATAAGCATGGAGTATGAAGGATGATGACAACAGTATTGAACAAAAAAAGTAAAGGAATTTCGGAATTTGAAGAAGAAAATCATTTTCATTGTGCGAGTTCGCAGTCATGGAACTGCTTTTAGACATCAAATGGAATGGAAATTATTGCTGATTCGTGCAAATTTTCTTTTGGAATTTCACTTTTGTAGGACGATGAGTGTTAATCGATTTCTTGATGCTTTCGTGTTAATGATTCTTTGCAAGCCTACAAACATGAATTTTTCCACTTAAATTGAATATTTAATTAAAGTTAATCTGGAGATTCAATTTGAGGTCAATTTTTTCAAGCAGTTTTGTGAATTGGAGGGATTTTTGAGGGTTAGGACTGATTAGGGATGTTTGGGATATGGTTTAATTAAATTTGATTTAATTTGTTTACTTTGCTGCTCATTTTAGTTCTTTTTGATGAGTTTAAGGAAATTCTCAGTCACAAAAATGCAGCTTGATCTTAATCATTATTTTAATATGAATCCTTTGCCTCTGTAGATTCATTTTTGAAATTAAGTTAATTGCTGCTTGCAAATTTATCATTTTAATTCATAAAGGACTCATTTAGAGTTATGTCATCAATGTCACATTTAAATAAATTTTGTCGTAAAAAAATCTGCCCAAAATACATCCCCAATGGCACTAATGATGGACACTTAACAACCAAAAGAAAAAACTTAAATAAATTTCAAACTTTGCCTAACTATCCGTCCAGTTAACGATAATGATATCAACATATAATTAAGTTGAGTACATTAGCAGATTAAATTGAAGTAAAAATGACCTGCTTTACTGCGTCACGAAATGTCTCTTTTTGAATAATATTTCATAACGACACATGTGAGCCAATGGGAATTTCCTTTTTATGACTTTAACAACTCAAATGATAGTGATAAGAAATTGAGCATAAAAATTGTGAACATATTTCCACGTCGATTCTCTAGATGATTTATAAATCGATAACTTCTTTTTTGGGAAGATATTCAGACAATTTATTTATTCCCACACACAGGCAGCTTGAAATAATTCATTTGAATTTTGGAACTGAAGTTCATGAGGGCATGCATCATTAGTCATTTGCGATAACACGATTAAGATATGCTTTGGCATACAAATTACATTTCCTTTTACCTAAATCGACTGAAAATTGGGCTTTTGGACGAACATATTAATTTATTTAATGGCATTTTAATTTAAATTTGGTCTTTTTTTTGTCTGAATAACAAAAGAATAATTTTTCTTTTGAGACGGCACCAATTAACCTCCACATTTTTTATTTAAATCAATCTGATGGGATTCGTTTAATAATAATGTGTGGAGTTTTTTTGACCTTCAGTAAGGAGATTGAGTGTTCCGATTTATTGATCAAGAATTCAAATCAGAGGCAGTAATGGGCTTGTTGAGAATTTTAAAGAAATTACATCATTCACAAACGACTCCAAAGAGAAAAAAATTGTTTTTATAGTAATTTATGAGAATTAATAATTTGCAATTATTTAAATCCATTTTTTTTTGTTATTCATTCATTGTCCATGTATGTCTTTTTGTTGTCTACTGTCTTGTTGAAGCAGAAAACAAACTGACAAAGACACCCACTTATCATGACTCGCTTGATTTATGTCTTTTCTTTTTTGCCCTTTTTTGTATCAAAAGACATATTTTTTTCTCCCATGAATGTTAAGACGTCCAAAACTACTGTTGAAAGGGGTTCTTGTCATGCATTGTGTCCCTATTTTAGATTTGTATCGACGATATGCAAAACAAAATAAATAAATTTATTTTTTTCTAGGAATTTTTTTTCAAAATGCGACACTTAATGAACCATAAAAGTCTAAATTTAATTTTAAAAATTTCTTCTTCGACTGCCAAACTTCCATCAGATAATTTAATGTAATAAACTCCACCCCGTTTGCTACTTTCTGTTATTGACTTTTCAGTGAAGCACAACGTGAATGTTTTATGTTTTTCACATATTTTATTTTATTGCATATCCAAAGTCCCTCAAGGCATCTCTAAGAGAGAGTGAAAATTAATTTTAAGGAAGAATCGAAAATTTTATCCACAGGATATTTTTATTTCGGGTGTCTTTCAATTTTTTAAAAGCGTAAATCCCTTGAGGAAGGGTAAGAACACTCATCCTTAATGGCATTCTAAACAAGAGACAGGCTGCACTGTGCATTGCATCATTAACTTTTCGCACACTTATGCAATAATTTCTAAACTCACAATTCTCATTTCTATTTTCATCTACGGCATAGACATTGAAACATACGCTAAATATTCATTCATTCATGCCTGATGATTGGATAGAGGGGTGCTGTTGCTGCTGCAAAATGTATTTTTAAATACCTCTCGTATTATTGTCTCTTCCTTCTCTCCTTCCCAATGCAATGCTCACAGTCTCGTTATTTATTTATGGATTTTAATGCATAATTTATGACATTTCATTTCATCTTTTATCCCAATTTTTATGCCTTTTTTGCTGTTGCTGTTGTTCTGCATTTTTTCATAGCATAATTTTTTTCGATTGCGGGGAAATTACTTATTTTTTTTATAGTCGTGTGAAAAATTATTGAATTTTTATTTTTATGGATTTTAGGGATTTTTTGGCATGCTGCATTTTGTCACTTGGTGTTTGTTTTTCGATATGCAAACAGAAGTGAGTAAAAAATGGCATTTAATGACTTGGGCGTTGTGATTTTTTGATGTAGATATGTGAATTATGGAGAATTGAGGCATAAAATTAGTGCGCATGGATTGATGTTATTTTGACACTCTTCGCATGTCTTAGCCCAAATTTGAGCCTTGGTTGATTAAGTCTTGAAATACTAAGGAGCTAAGATATTGCTGCAAAATGATCTAATAAGAGCTACAACCGTTAGATAAAATCTTTATTATTAAGAAATGGCTCCATTAGTTTAAGGCTGCATTAAATCCACAAAAAAAAACCTCATCAAAGACTTCATAATTACTTAATTAAAAATTCTTAAAATTCACCAACAAACCTCACGAATAAGGAACATGTCAATCAGTACAATTGCAAATGTCATCACATGCTACATACCTGAAATAATAAAGAAAGAAAAGAAAGATAATTAAAATTTAATTTACTGCAAAGAAACTTGTCATCATCACCAACATACAAGAGACACCAGAACGAAAATAGAACGAAATAATTAAAAATATTAAATTCTTGAGAAACAGCATAAACAGAGCTGTAAAGGAAGAGACTGAAAGCAGCAAATGTCATAAATCATCGTGAGTTTTATGATATTCAATAAAATGATCATGAACAATAAAAATTAATTTAAGCATCGAGTTTATTTAGTCATTCTGTGCTGTCATATTCTGTCAGTTATCTCATGGGGAATTGCTTCATTTCTGGAAGTGCTGGCATATTCACTTACTTACTTACTTCGCTGGCCGTACAGATCAATTGTGATCCATGGCCTCCCTTAAATAGCATAAATGGCATATTCACACTCCTTCTTATTTTCGGTAAAAACAGTCTTTTTTGGACATGAAATATATTTTAATCATTTTTATTCAAGTTGCTCATTATGATTCCCGCAGTTTTCAATTTTTATATCCACTATTTTGTTTCAAGTCTTTTGTTTTATTGCCCATACACAAAAAATGATTAGAATCATAATTTATATTGATTTATTGGTGCCATTTTGTTTCACAAACAGCTCTTTAAGTGTTCTGTGCACCATACAGTGAATTTTTTATTTTTACACGTCT